AAACAATGCAAAACTTCCTCCTAACTCTACTAAGCAGTTTTTGCTTATACTCTCTTGCACTGATTCATCCTGACACCTGATGCTGAAAGATTCCTCTGCCTCTGAACCTCACTTGTACCTGCTTGCTTCTTGTTCTTGCTCTTTAATGGATCATCAATGTTTTCCGACAATCTACTTTTACAATATCATCTTCCTCCAGTCTGGATAATAGTCCAACCCTTCCATAAAGCGCCCATGTACCATATGACCAGACCAGAACAATTATGTCTTCCAGATAGAGGGAATATATATTAAAAAAAAAAAAAAGTTTTTGAATGGAACGAAGTATGTAAACCAAAATCTGTCAATTATTCAGTAAAATAAATTGCAATAAAGATAATGGCCTTTTTTCTAAAACTGAATACCACAATTATGCCTCAGAAAACACTGACACAAGAAAACACTGATACAATACTTGTCAAAAATGAAAATGTGTACAAGGCAAGAATGCATCCAATTTGTGTATATTAGCAACATTATTCAAAAGTTACTCACCTTGTAATTTTGAATTTTAGAACTTAGAGGTTTGATCCTAATGATTTAAATCAGTGGCTAACACTGCATATGCCTTTCTATATTTATGTAATCTTATACAATTCTTCAAGCAGTTAGGCAGCCAGTGACATACATTATAGCGCCCTTTTTCAGTATGTACATTTCAGTATGTACATAACAAAAAAGTCCTCTGTTATGTGTATGACTAAGCTTAAAAAGGCATTAATCAGAAAATATTATGAAACCTAATAAGGTTTTTACACCCATTGCAGTAAATATTTGATAATGTGACATAAATGCTGTAGAAATGTTTGCCATATGCTGAATTATTATATTTAGGAGAGTATAGAAACATGACTAATCTTGTTCTATTCCACTGAAGCAGTGATTTCTATAGATTAGTTTTTGCTTTGTCATAATTCTGCTTTGTTTTTCATGATCCTTAGAGATATATAATCTAGCAGAACACAATCAGCTTTCTCTTTTAACACTTACCTCTCAATACAGTCAGCAAATGCATGGTGTTCCAAGATTAGAATAGAACAGAGTAGTTCAGTTGGAAAGGACTTACAAAGATGATAGAATCCAACTGTCAGACTACTTCAGGGCTGATCCAAAATTAAAACATCAACAACCTTCCCAGGAAGCCTGTTGCAATGTTATCTAAACTCCCAGCAAAGACATTTTTCCCAGTGTCCAGTCTGAACCTTCCCTGGCACAGTTTTGAGCCATTCTCACAAGATCTGTCACCAGATAAGAAAGAGAAAAGATGAGCACCTCCCTCTCCACTTCACATCCTCAGGAAGCAGTTGAGGGCTGCATCTCAAGCTTATTTTCTCCAAGTTTAAGAAACCCAGAATGCTCAAACTCTCCTTACAGGACATGTCTATTTTACCAGCTTTGTTGCCTCCTCTGTATGGATTCAAGTATCTCAACATCCTTTTTAAAACTCTGGAGTCCAGAACCGCACACAATACTCCAAGTGAGATCACACTAATGTTAAATACAGGGGGAGAATCACCTTTTTGGTTTTCTGGCTCTGCTGTGCTTAATGTTCCCCTCAATGTAGTTTGCCCTCTTTGCTGGCAGGGCATGCTGCTGGCTCATGCTGAGCCTGCTGTCACCAGTACCCCCAGGTCTCTTTCTGCTGAGCAGCTCTCTCTTTGTCATAGAATCATAGAATGGCTCAGGTTGGAAGGGACCTCAAAGATCATCCAGTTCCAATCCCCTTGCCATAGGCAGGGGTGCCACCCCTGGTTGCTCAGGGCCTATCAGGTTGCTCAGGGCCTCACCTAACCTGGCCTTGAAAGTCTCTCCAGTCACTCATCTCCCAGTCTGTACCTGTGTCTGGCATTACCCCACTTGAGGTGCAGAATCCAGTGTTTTCCTTCTTCAACCTTTATGCTGTTGCTGGTGGCCCAGTGTGCTGATCAATCTAGATCCCCCTGTAAAGCCATTTGTCCCTCCACAGAGTCAACAGTACCTCCCAGTTTAGTATCAGCAAGTTTACTAAGAATGCATTCAACTCCTGCATCCACATCATTAATAAAAATATCAAACAGAATTTCCCCCAAGATTGAGCCTTGAGGGAACACCACTTGTGACTGGCCACTACCAGATGCAGCCCCTTTTCACAACCCCTTAAGCCCAGCCTTTCAGCCTGTTCTTCATCCAGTATGCTGTGTACCTGTTCATTTCAAAATTGGATATTTTTTCCAGAAGAACATTGTGAGGGACTGTATCAAAAGCCTTGTTAAAATCCAGGGAAACGAATTCCACCACCTTTGTCCACTGTGCAGGTGATCTTATGAAATTGGTGAGAGACTTTCCTTTCATGAACCCATGTTGGCTGGGCCTGATGATTTCACCATGGTTTAAGAGCCTTTCAGTGGTGCTTGGAGTAATCATCTCTATAATTCTTCAAGGTATTGAAGTTAAACTAACAGATAAGTAACTTCCAGGGTCTTCCCCTGGGACCTTCTTGCAAATTGGGATAACATTGGCTAGTTTCCAGTGAGTGGGGACCTCTCCAGATTCCCAAGACCTCCAAAAGATAATTGAGATGTGTCCTTCTACAACCTCCACTAACACTCTCAGCACTCTGTGATGAATTCCATCAAGCTCCACAGGCTTGTAAATATTCAGCTGGTACATCTGATTCTTTACAATTTTGGTGTCAACAAATGGAGTATTGCTGCTCATGTTGCCTCACTTATGGCCCTCCAACCTGCAGAACCAGGCAACCCAAGGTGTACCATTAATGTTAAAGACAGAAGCAAAAAAAGCATTAAATGCCTCTGTCTTTTCATCATCCCTACTTCCAAGTGACCGGCGTCATCCAGTAATGGTCTAATGTTTTCCTGAGACCTTTTGTTTCTACTAACATACTTAAAAAGCCTTTTTTGTTATCTGAAGCATCACTGGCCAATTTTAACTCTAGATCAGCTTTGGCTTTTTTGTGCTTTCTTCCTTCAGCTGCAAACTGCAGCTCTGTAATCTTTCTGTGAGATCACACTTGTTTTTTTTTCTGCTTGGGTTCCGGAAGGAAATGGAACTGTTCAGCCAAGACAGTCTTCTGCCCCAATTACGTGACTTATGACACAATGGGATTGCTTACTCCTGTGTTTTTAAAAGATGGTTTTTGAAAACTAATCAGCTTTCATGGACCAGCTCTCAAGAGCAGATTTCCAGAAGACCCTGCTAACTAACTCCTTTAAGTTTTGAATTTTGCACTTTTAAAATCAAGGGTAACAACTCTGCTGATTATTTTTCTCTTTTCACCAAAAATTTTAATCTCAACCATTTCATGATTACAGTGACCTGAGCCACCTACTGTTACATCTCTCATGAGGTCTTCTCTATTTACATTCAACAAATCTAGGAGGGCATTTTCCTGTCTGGTTATCTTTAACACACTTTAGGAGTTGCTCAGACTTGTTTGTCACTGAAGTATGATATTCCCAATAAATGTATGGGAAGTCAAAATGTCACACAAAATGAGGACAGATGATCCAGAGATTTCTTCTAATTGCCTACAGAATAACTCATCATGGCTGGGTGAATGATAGCAGAAAGCCACAACTACGTCTACTTTATTGTCTATGCATCCCCCTAATGATTACCCTGAGGCTCTCAACCACATCATCCCTAACTGAAAGGGCTGTACAATCAAGTCTCTTCCCTACACACAGTGCAGCACCTCTACCTTGCCTGCTCAAACTGTTCCTCCTAAACAGCCTGTAGTCCTCTATCCCAGTACGACAACCATGGGACTCATTCCACCAAGACTCACTAATACCAATGATGTCCTAGCTCTGGGAGTGGATCAAAGTTTCCAGGTCCTCCTGTTTTCTTTTCATACTACATGCATTGGTGTATAGTCATTTCAGATGGGCTACCAAATCTTTGGTGCTCCCTGGACCTGTGTAAATACTCCCATTAACTGTGCCATCCACTGACTCACCTATAGCACTGCTAGTAGTATTCCCTTCCCCAGCAATCTTAGTTTAAAGTCCTCTCAGTCAGTCCTGCTATTTTACAGGTGAAGAAACATCTTCCCCATCTAAACAGGTAGTTCCTGTCAGGCCCCAGCAGATCTTGTGTCTCAAAGAATCTAATGTAGCTACATCAACCAGAATTCTGGAAGAGGTATCAACGTTGGAGCCAGACATGGATGTCCTGGCATTGCCTGTTTCTTCCCTGTTACTGGGAGGATAGAGGAAAACACTACCAGAGCAGCTGAAACACAGAATAGTTAAGGTGCTGAATTCTTCAGCAATTTTCCCAGTACCCTAATATCTCTTCAAACTTCTTGATGCGACATCACTGGTACCTAACCTATGTGAAACAGAAGAAATGGGTAAGGCTCTGAAGGCTGTGCTGAGCTCTTTGGTGAAATCCATGACCTGATCCCTGGGGAGGCAGCACACTTCTCTGAAAATAGACTCTGGTCTACAGATGGGAGCCTCCATTCCCCTCAATAGGGAGTACCCTGTAACCATATCTTTTTTCTTCCCAGTGCTGGTCTTAATGCTATTCTTGATGTGAGGAGATTGTTGATCTAACCTTGGCAAGGGAGGTAGTTTTAGCATCTCATGCACTGATTCCTCTCTTTCCATTTCATTATGTCCCTTGTCTACCTTCTTCAGATCCTCTTACCTATTACATAAAGATAGCTGAGGGTGCAAGGAAAGGATCTTCTTGTGGCTCCAAGCTGACTGACTTCCATTTCTCCCTGTCCATCCCTCTCCATTTCCATCCCAGTGCTGAACAGGTGTGAGATCAGTCTTGGTGTTGGCTGTGCTAGGCTGGCACCTGTGCACCAGAGAGTGCAGAGCACAGATCCTTTGATCTATCATCTTCTCAGACTCTAGGATGCTCCTCCTGAAACTTGGCCACAGGGCAGAGCAGTACTTCCCCCTGCAGGCACACCTGCCGCAGCCCTGCTCTCTGTCAATCTCCATCTCAGACACTTGCAGCAGTCAGGTCCTGCAGCCTGTCTGGGCCACCATGGGGCTGCCTCAGTGTCCCCCCTGGAAGCCCCCAGGGGGCCAGGATGGCAGCCTTCCAATGGTTGGGGCTGGGCAGGAAGCAGAGCCCAGTCCAGTGGCACTGGGCACCTGGCCAGCCTTGGTCACTGCTAGCGAGGGCTGCCCACAGTACACATAGCTGTACTGCCCACCCTGCCTGCCCTGCTTGCCTGCCGGTCACTTCCCTACAGGACAGCGAGCTGAGAGGCTAAAGAAATAAAGAACGAGAGACCTGAGGTGTCCGGGTGGAGAACTATAAAATCAAAGAGGTGGTAAGAAAATATTTGTTCATTACTGATCCTTCACATGCTGGGTGGTTGTAAATTTAGCTAAATTCTGGTGTTTGCATTTCTTTTATAGGTTATTTACTATTTACATGAAACAATGCTCACAGCATGCATCTGAAGTCAGATCAGACTCATTCCTTTATTTGCTTGCATTACACTTTTCTGAGGTTGGCTTTTTGTCCCTTTGCCTCATTCAGATAAACATCTTAATTTATTCTTACTAATCAAACAGTCCAATGAGCTTCTAAACTGAACTTTTGTTGCCTAATGATTGCATTGCTTTTAGGAAGGTAACATGTTGTTTTACTGATAAAGCAGACCAATTACTTGGAAAAAAGAGAGTATTTGTATTCTAAGTGATTGATTGGATTCCCTGTATTTGGAAACCTTTCCATTTGTTGTTTGTCATTGTCAGTGTGGTTGTCTAGATATTGAAAAACAGTTAATTGTATTCTTCAACATCATTGACTACTTTCTCAGTATTTTCTGTTTTCCTTCAAGCTCAATATGTTATGACATAATTAAGATCTCAATTTTCATTAAAAAAGAAGTGTTTTAAACCCTTGTGACTGCAGTGGGAAAGTTTAAAATAAACAAACAGGAATAAAGCAGAGAGAGTAAGTAAACAAAACTCTGTATTGCTACAATTTATTAGTCTAAAACACACACACACACAAAAAGAAGTAATATGAGTTTGGTGACCAATTTTCTTGAATTTATTTCCAATTTAATTTGTTGCAAAGCATTGATTTAAATAGTCTAATAATAATAATAATAATAATAATAATAATAATAATAATAATAATAATAATAATAATAGAGACTTTGTAGTAACTGTTCAAAACAGTATTTCTACCAGATATCTCAGATACCTAAGATATCTTAGAGAACAAGGACACAAAGTTTACACACAAAACTGTTCTTGTTCCCCTCGGTTTGGAACAAAGCTGCCATTAGAACATTTCTGGATTGTTTGTTTATTTTTTTTTTTCCAGCTCTTTGACTGTTCCCTGTGCTGGTGCTTTGTTTGTTTGTTTTCCCCTCTGCAGTGTGTCCGCTGCCTGTAAGAGCTACTCTGTATGTGGTCATTTATCTGTGCACATGTAGTAGCTGTGTCTAGTTGTGGTTGTGTCTTGTAGTGGCAGGTCTGTTGTTTTGTTATCCCTTTTTATAAGAGAGGATTGAAGACTGATTGGAAACTAAGAACAGCCAAAAAGGAGTTTTTGTTACAGTATTTTTTTTTTTATATAAAATGAGTTTAGTCATATAAATGAGGACTAGAAATAACAAATCACCCATTAATTAGTACAAGGCTGAAGGACTTATTTGGGTATTTCAAGCTAATGTTTAGGTGCTTTTTCCAAGATTTCACAGAAAATATCTGAGAGCATGCAAAATTCTGTTGTTTGAAACTTGGAAAAAAAGAATGCAAAGCAGAGATGAAAAAGTCAAGCATATATCTCTTAGTTTGACAAAGGACCTTGACAAATAATAAAACAAAGAACAAACAAACAAAAATACCAAATACATTTCATACTTTAACTTCTTTTATACACTTGTAGTCAATGAATGTATTTCCAATGAATTTCCTTTCCTTTTCTTCCCCCTCCCCCCCCCCCCCCTTTTTTTTATCAAACTCCAATTCAGTATTTTAAAGAGTTGTCAAATTATTTGATTGGACTGTAATTAGTTTATTATCTTGCAGTGTCTGTCTTCCTAAAACTCCTTATCAGTTATATTAATGCACTGTATTTTATATCTCTAGCATACCTAACCTATTATTTTCACCCCAGCATGGCATGCATGTGGCTTTCAACAGTTGCTGGAGGAATACTGACACTGTTTGTTTCTCTGAAGATTTTTTTTCCATATTTCTGGGAGGATCTGGTCTTCTTCTTGAAGCGGAAGAGGTTAAAATCAATGATAAAGAAACGGGCCAAAAATGGAATTCTCACCATAATTGATCTTTTCACACACAGAGTGGGAAAGATACCCCACAAGCCATTCCTCATCTATGAAGGGAATGTGCATACCTATGAGGATGTGGACAGGAGGAGTAACAGGGTAGCCCAGGTCTTCCTACAATATGGGGCTTTGAAAAAAGGCGATACTGTGGCCCTGCTGATGTGTAATGGACCTGACTTCATTCATGTGTGGTTTGGACTGGCAAAACTGGGCTGTGTGGTGGCTTTCCTCAACTTCAATGTCCGCTCCAGATCTCTCCTGCACTGTTGTAATACATGTGCAGCAAAAGCAGTGGTGATAGGAGAAGGTAAGTCTTGCATTGTATTTGGTTTACTACTTTCTACTGTGTTTGGCTATCAGAAATAGATAATCAGAACAGTTCAAAGCCGAAAGCACTTCATATACAGAACGATATAGAAGCAGAATCATAGAATACAATAATTTGGAAGGAACTGCAGTCCCTTCTCCTGGCTATAGAGAGGACCATCCAAAGACACGCAATAGGTCTGAGAGCACTGTCCAAATGCTTCCTGAACTCCATCAGACTTGGTGTGGCCACTTCCCTGGGGAGCCTGTCCCAGTGTCCAACCACCTTCTTGGTGAAGAACCTTTCCCTAATACCCAGCCTGACCCTCCCCTGCCCCAGCTCCATGCTGTTCCCTCGGGTCCTGTTCCTGTCCTCAGAGAGCAGAGTTCAGTGCCTGCCCCTCTGCTCACCTCCATAAGAACTCGTGTATATATATACATATATTTTGGCTAAAAAGGAGGGGAAAGAGAAAGGCCTGTTTGAATTTCAAATGTATAAACACCAACATATTTGGAATTAATTAGTATAATAAAAGGCTTAAAACTGAAACTCCAAGTACTGGACAATGTAACAGCATGAACAGTTACTCATGAACAAGTGAACAGCAGGGAGATATACTTCAGCAGCATTTCCTTTCTATTTCTCTTTATTAGCTTACATAGATACAACTATACTGACTACAGGAAGGCTCACCTTTTCTTTATAATCAAAATCCATATATACAAATGTATTGTCATTTTAGAACTGCTTCAAAGAAGTGGCCCAGTAGTGGTCCAGAGGTTCCATTGCTTAAAGCAAACAATTTAGCATAAATTTAATTTTGGCCCTCTAACTGGCATATTATGTAATCCTGGGCAGTTTATTTAACATTTCCGCTCCTCTTTTCCCAGCTTGAATACAAGTTGGCAATACTTCTGTAATTCACATATGTGAACCTGTGAGGGCCTTATATATTATATATAAAGCATATATTATGCTTTAAAAGCTTTAAGAAGTGCAAATGTTGTGGCATACTGACTAAATTAAATCCTGTTATTTTAATGCTATAAAGATCAGTTATTTTTTTTCCATTACAACTAAAGCCACATCAGAAGTATAGAGAAATTAAGTATAAGTATCTTCATTGTTTTTATATTATTAGTTTTAATTAAACACCATGATCATTTTTTCCCCTGCCTGATAGGTTGAGTTGTCCTGTGACTGATGTGGTGGCTGAGTAGATAATTACAGTGAAGACAATCAGGGATGTACTTGCAATTATTTTAGTAACAGTGGTTTTTGTTTGTTTGTTTGTTTGTTTTTAACTTGACAGATTGTTTGGGATCAATAGAGACTGAGTTTATTTTTCATCTCTTGGAAAACAATATTACTGTCTGGCTAATGAGCACCAGTTCTCCTTTCCCTCGTGTTGGCACTATACTGGACAAGCTAGACAAAGTCCCTGATCACCCTGTTTCGTCTCACCTTAGAGCTGCCAATAATGGAAAATGCACAGCCATGTATATCTTCACATCGGGAAGTACAGGTGAGAATGTGTACAACAACGTAAAATTGCAGCTCCAAAACTTTATTTGGTATAAACTTAGCAGAAAGACAGGCACACAAAAAGACAGAACTTGAATTTTTGCAGTCAAGCTATGGAGGAATCTGTTTAGTTAAAAGTGAATCTGTTTAGTTAAAAATAAATTTGTTTAGTCCATTTTTACTTTGCCATAACAATGCCATAATTCCAGTTAGTGAATTTTCACATAGATGTTCCATGCCTGAACTTTATTTCTTAAAAGTAAGGGCAGTAAAGTCAGTCTCTAACAGCTGCTGTCAGTTCATAGTAACAGAAATTCACAAGTCCAGACTAGAAAGAACAGCCAGCACAAGTGCTTAGGCTTTGGGAGAAAACTTTTCCTCTGTGACTGATCTGAGTAGTGAAGTTTCACTTTCCATCACTAGAAAGGAAAGAAGAATGCTTCCTCTAGTCAAGACAAAGAAGTTCATAATAAACGTTACTCTTACTGCAAATAGAAGCTGAGGACACAAGGCACAAGGCCTCTTCAGAACCTTTTTATTTCTTTCTTGGTGTTGAGGGAACACTGTGTACACAGTCTCCACTGGTCTGTGACAGGTATGGACTTTCCTCCCCAGGTCAAGAAGAGAACAGGATCAAATAGTCTTAGAGAAGCTGAGAGGCTAAGGAGATATGAGGTGAAAACTGAAAGACAGGACAGACAAAGACTAAGAAGAAAAAACAACTCTCCCAGTATATTACAAACATAATCTTATGTTTGCAGCAAAATTATTAATGCAAGCACTATATAATTATTTGCTTTTCTTACTTTGGCAGGTTTCCCAAAAGCTGCTATCATCACTCATCTAAGAGCCCTATCTGCCTGCTTAGCATTTATTCAGTGTGGAGCAACTTCTCAGGATATTATGTATCTCACTCTTCCTTTGTACCACATCAGTGCTTCTCTTCTTGGCATTGGTGGATGCATTGAATTAGGTAATATTGACTTTCAAGTGAAGTTTCATTAACTTAAGAATGCTGTAACATCTTATCATTTGGTGAATAACTCCATTTGGTGAGTAACTCCAACATTATGTGTGCCAATAGACTTTTGTTACCTTCTCATTTTTATCACCTTCCTCAGTGGGAAAAAAATATCTATTTGTAGTTTTGAAGCCTGGAGCAGACACCATCTGTTACATAGATACAACATAGCATGACTTGAATTGTGTATGTTGCTGAAATGACTCCATGTGTTTTTTAAGTTTAACCTGAAATTACATTGTATCCTAACACAAAAAGCCCTAAAAGTCTGAATCTCCATTTTTGATTATGATAATGGACTTCTTGGAGTTTTATGTACAGGGCTAACAACCAATTTTTTTTCGGATGTGGCCTCCTTTCTTGTCCTCAGAGTGTTGCCCATTTTTTAAAATTTTATTTATTTATTATTTTTTATTTTATTTATGAATTTATTTATTTATTTATTGCTATGGTAATTATACATCTGAGCTGTTTTAAAGCCATTTCAGTGCTTTACTTCTTCAGGAACAGCATGGGCAAGTGTGCTGGGTTGCAGCAACAGATAACAGACATCTGCTGCCTAACAGAAACATGAAGGGGGTGGGAGAAGTAGTGTATGAAAAGGTTTGAGGCTTTGATTTGTCTTGGGGAGAAAAAGTAGAATAACAGCTTTCTTAGATGGGCCATTCAGACTGGGACTCTGATGGGTCTGTGTTTTGAATAACAAGGCAGGCTTTGAGATGAGTGAGGCTGAAGAGCTCTGAGAGCTTCATGTCTTGCAAGAGATGGGGTACCTCAGTCAAGGAGGAATTGGGGAGCTAAGAACAAGTGGACTAGAAGGGATTTGTTACTTGAAAGGCACTGGGAAACTTTATGTTGGACAAATAGGACTCAGGCAGAAACACATTTTGGAAAGGACAGAGACAGGGAAATTGGAAACTCCTAGCTGACAACACTTAGAAAAAAAAACTACGGAAAAGGAACAGGCTGGGAGACATGAGAACTCTAGGAAGGGATATTTTTTGAAATGGAAAGCATTAAGCAACTTTAGAGCTGCAGAAATAAATTGAGGGTGATGAGTTGACATGAAACACAAAAGGGGAGCAAGACAAAAATAATGAAGTCTCTAAGATGATTTCCCTGCCCACACAAATACAGAAGACTGCAAGCTACCTTCTCTCCCATCGCAAGCTCTCTCTTTCCAGGCTTACACCAGTAACCATCTTGATATAAACAAAATGGTTAGGCTTGGGCCTATTCCTAATAACTGGAGATGACTGAAACGTTCTCTTCTACTGCTTCTTATACTGTAGGTTTTTAGATATTACTGAGAAATACAAGAAGCAAGGCTCCATAGTACTAGTCACATTTAAAGAAAGAACTTACTGGAAATAGCTTACAATTTATTTAAATAGATTAATTTGTCATTAAGAAAATGAAACTTATCTGTAACCGTAGTAATGATAATGATTTTAATAGTTATTTTGAAATTTATTATCTTTTTTCATCATCTAGGTGCAACTTGTGTTTTGAAGAAGAAATTTTCTGCAAGCCAGTTTTGGAATGACTGTAGAAAATACAATGTGACAATGTTTTTGTACATTGGGGAGCTCTGTCGCTACCTTTGTAACCAGCCCAGGGTAAATTCTCCTTTACAAGTAAATCTGGATTTTCTAAGTGTTATAGATTTGTTCATTTCTCAATGGTATAATATTCTTAATGTTTGAAATTGGATTCAAATTTTGGATCTTGTGTTGCTTGTAGCTCTACAATAGCACTGAAGTATGTATAAGCACATTTACTGGAGTTATGCAGGTTATGCATGTGGAGTTATGGAGTTATGTCTGGCAGGATGGGACAGTTATTCCTACAAACTAGCATTAATTCTTCTGTAAACCCAAGTTTGTTGATTTTTCATCTGAGTGATAGGCAAGTGGCAGGTCAGTAAGTAGAGGTATAAGCAGGAGATGCTTTATCAGACTTGGTGATCAAAAGAGTGTGAACCAGATCAAATCATTAACCATTTGCACTGCTTTGTTCCAAACTAATTACTTATTAAGAGAAGGCTACTCTACCCAGTATAATAATTCAGCTGATAACTCTTTTTTTGCATGGCTTTGGATGTGATGACTTTATTTATTTCATTTTTTTTTTCCTGGTGAGTTGCTCCAAATGCACCTTTTGCTCCATAGCTCTGAATGTGATTATAGAATCATCCTTGTAAAAGGCATATGGTTATTAGTGTGGTGCAAAATCTTGCTTGCCCCTGCAACAATAGTCTGAATGGCATGGAGCTAAATCATGATTAGACTTAGGACAAAAGTACCATGTCACTGAGCAGAGCAGCAGCAGAATAGCAAGCATGTAAGCCTGAAAATATTTATTACGTTGCAATGCTTGTTTGTAGGTGATGGTGAAAAGTGACTAAGATTTTCTTAATTTTATACTTGGGAGTTACGAAGTTACTGAAGGCTGGTGACAAAGATTCCTACCTACTACAGAAAACATCACGTACAAGCACAAAGTTAAAAAATGCTCTCCAACTTCATTGCCCAGAGATTGGCACAAGAGCTAGCAATGAAGCAACATCTGAGAGAATTCATGTGCTGATTTGAACAGAAAATTATTATTATGTGGTCTGGATGTAGGAGAGAGGTCAAAGACAAAAAAGCATCGGAGGGAACAAGCTAGAAAAGCTGCTGGCCAGACCTCAAGCCTGTACAAACATTATGTCAGTAGTCCATGGATCAAACAACAAAAGAATAATTAACTAGACAAAAGTAGTTGTGCAAAGGTCTCTCCTGCATGAAAAGGCAGGAAGAACTTCCTTCACTTGGCTCAATAACAAGAATGTAACAGAGAGGATATTTATGTTTAACTCACAACTGGTAAAAAGAGGGAAAAACTGAACGGTGGTCCAGCTGTTAAGGAAGTTCAGGATATCAACAGAAATGCATCAGAGTAGATACAGAGACCTGTTAAGATTGGTTATCTTACCAATGTGTACTACCTATAAACTATTGTGTATCACACAGATTCTTCCACAGTGAAAGAAATCTGCTTAAGCCAATAAGTAAAGCAGATATGTTTCACCTAAACTCTGTGCTGTGGCATGCCAGACCAAAGCAGTCTTGGTGTTGCCCAGGATTAGGGCTACCTAATGGACCCTGCAACTAGAACCCAGCTCTGACTGGAATATCAGCAACCAGCTGATCCAGCATCCATGTACCTATGATAAAAAACACATTTTAAACATGGTACCCCATACCAGTCAACAAACAAAATGGACTATGTGCCAAGGACTGTTTTTAAAAAGAACTATAAAATTTCAAATATATTTTAAAATTTGAAATAAAGTGAAGATGAAACCACCATAATAGTTCCTCTTAGCCTTATAATCTCTGAACATGCTAAAATTTACTTCAAGTCTTAGAATCAGACAAACCAGATGTGTGAAAGCCAAACCAAACCAAACCAAAAAAAAAAAAAAAAAAAAAAAAAAAAAAAAAAAAAAGCACATACATACAAACAAACAAACAAAAAAACAGATAACCAAACAATAATAACAAAACAGCATTATTTTCCTCTGAAGATGAAGCGTTAAAGAAGATACAATGTTAGATATAAAGTAATTCTACCAACCAGCCCACCAACTTGTTCATAACAGAGTTTGATCACATCACGTGCCATGCTGTCCTTTCAGGTTTACCTTCACAATGACAAAAGAAAGCAGAGCTACTTAAACAGAAGTAGGGAAGTTTCCACTCCTGTCTTAACAAGTGGAGTCTAGTCTGCACTACTGCTGATCATATCATGACAAAATACATATTACTTGTCTATCAGACGTGCAGTGTTGGATCAAATTAAATCATCAGTTAACCCAGAGTTCACAAAACAATTTTATCTCAATATTAGGTGAAAACATTAAAACACTTAGAGTCATTTAAAATATTTCAGCATAATTCTAGTTAGTTAGACTAAACTTTTTCAAAACTTTCCATTTTGAAATCAACTCTGTTATTTAGAAATCAATTTTATTATTACAATTTTATAAGTTTCAAATCACACCAAAAATTGAAAAAAAAAAATAAATAATAATTATTTGGCTTGAGGAAACCATTGTTTTCAACCTGAAATAATTTGGTCTTTTTACTTTTTGTTGCTGTCCAGTCATGGCAGTAGATTAATCATTCAATCCTACCTATACATCCACAAAAAGTGAGGACTTTTTCATAGGCAGATACTTGACTACAGGTTCATACATAGATAGCTGAACAGTCTGACCCAATGCAGGAAACATCTGAATATTGCACAATAATGACATAACTGACATGTAACCATGACACGTTAAGAATTACTTTTGACTCCAAGTTTGATTACCAGCTTTTCTGAATTTGATCTTAAGATTAAAACTGCACATTATATGAGGTCAGTTAAGGAGATTTAAGTCATGATGCTACTTTTCCATGTTCCTTAGGTAACATGACAGACTTGTTAAATTTAATACCAAGTAATACAATAGATTCATAGAATGGCTTGGGTTGGAAGGGACCTTGAAGGTCATCTAACTCCAACCCCCCAGCCATAGGTAGTGATAGCACCCATTAGATCAGGCTGGCCAAGACCTCACTCAGCCTGGCCTTGAATACCTCCAGGGATTGGACATCCACAACTGCTGTGGGCAACCTGTTCCAGTTCCTCACTACCTTCACAAAGAGTTTCCTCTTAATGTCTAATCTAAATCTATCCTCTTTTAGTTTAAGACCATTCCCCCTCGTCCTATCATTATGTAGCCAAGTAAAGAGTCCTTCTCCATCATTTTTATTAGCCCCCTTTAAGTACTGAAAGGCCACAATGAAGTTTCCTTGGAGCCTTCTCTTCTCCAGGCTGTACATTCCCAGCTCTCTCAGTCTGTCTTCACAGGAAAGATGATTTAGTCCTCTGATCATCTTTGTGGCCCTCCTCTGGACTCACTCTAACAGGTCTACATCTTTCTTATGCTGGGTGCCCCAAACCTAGATGCAGTACTCCAAGTGGGGCCTCACTAACAGAGAACAGTGGGGTAGTCACCTACCTTGACCTGTTGGTCACGCCACTTTTGATGCAGCCCAGGATAGAATTAGTCTTCTGGGCTGCAAGTACACACTGCTGTCTTATGTTGAGCCTTTCATGTGTAGAATCAACCATAATGTGTAATAGTTTTTTTCTAAGACAGTATGTTACCTATGCAGTTGTTTCAAAAAAGAATTTCCATGTGATCCAATATGATATTGAGCATATTTAAAAAATAATAATACTTTTTTTCAAGATAAAATGAATCTTTTAAACTTTGTAGTATGCACTTCAGTTACTGACTTTCACAGAAGCACAGAATAGATGAGGTTGGAAGGGACTTCTGGAGGTCACCTGGTCAAAACCCCCTGTTCAAGTAGGGAAACCTTGTAAGGTTGTCCAGTATGATGTCCAGATGACTTTTTCAGATTTCCAGGGAGGGAATCTCCACAAGCTGTTTGGGCACCATGTTCCAGTGCTCAGTCACACAAGCACTGTATTTCTAAGTGAAAAAAACAAAGGCAAACTATGAAATTAAAGTTCTTGCCTTATGAGAGTCCTTCAACCTTAGGCAAACTAATTCTGATGTTTTTCTGTTCTATTTTTACAAAACTAATATCTTTCTTTGAAGTCTTTTAGTCAAAGTGGTATTTTTCATCTTCTATAGAAAATTTTAGATCTCTAGAAATATTTAAAGTCCCTTTTCTCAGCTGCAGAATGTTCTTTTTTGCTGTTCACAGAAAGAAGGGGACAGAGTTCACAAAGTACGCATTGCTCTAGGAAATGGTATAAGACCTGCTGTCTGGAAAGAATTCCTGATGAGGTTTGGCCCAATTAAAATATTTGAATTCTATGGATCCACAGAAGGAAATGTTGGTTTCTTTAACTACACAAATAAGATAGGAGCTGTGGGACGTGCTGGCATCTTCTCAAAGGTAAGGTAAATGTACACAAGTCAACCAATCAACCAATTAGTAAGCCACGAAAAAAAAAAAAAAAAAAAAGAGCAGGTCAAAGGCAGAAGAATGTACAAGGAAGAAGGAAGAAACTGCTTACTACAGATCAAAGTTTGATTTATGAAAATGGAAATCTTATTTTTACTCCCTTACTTGATTCTGTTCTCTGTGCATGTATTGTAACCCTGTAATAAATACACACAAAAAAAAAAAAGTCCATCAAAGCTGCCAATTTTTCCCCCAGAATTAAAAAAAGCAAAACAAAACAGACTATATAGAAGTACATGTCCATAGGAATGATTAAAAGCAACGTTCACTGGAGTTTGTCATCCCCAAAGACCACACATATTTAGTAATGAGTAAGAAATTAGTTTTGATTTGGTATAAATCAGGAGATGTATGTTCTAGAGCAAACCCACACAAATTTAATGACTGCTTTTTCAGTCATTAAAAGCAGCATCACACTTTCTTCTCTGAAGTTAAGTAAGTAAGCAAACAAACAAACAAAAAATAAACAAACAAATAAAAGTTTAGCAACTAGAAAATAAAAATATCAAACTACCTGAAATATAAATTTATATACATGACTACTGTTGAAACTCTGACTGGAGATACACATCTTTCCCTCATAAAAATACCATGGCAGTCTCAAATGCTTTTCTTATTTGTTCAGACTTTTTGTGAATCATGAATATTATACTACAATAAAATACTGTTCAAATGATACTAAAGATTCAGATCACTTAACATCAAAAAGAAATTAATGATTTCCAAATGATTTCTGCTTTTAATCTGAGATGCTGACAATGTCTTCCCATGACCATAATACTATCTCTGCAATGCTTTTGATCTTTTAGCAATCTTAACTGTGTGGACAGGGGACAAAAGCAGGAAAGTCTAAATCAAACCGTAGACCTGTAAGTTTCCACTTTGATCTGGCTGAAATAATTTTTGAGATGCCTGTAAATTTAATTTGGATTTTTTGTCAAAGAATCTTCTTTATTTTCATTTCAGTAATGTTAAGTTCTTACTTACAGTTGATCGTAGGTTTGAAGCAAAATCAACAATCTGATCAAAAGCACTATGTTATTTTAATTTATACAAATTTTTTGAATCAGACTATACTCTAAAATAATGGATTTTTATCATCAAAGTAGACAAACATCTCATCTGTATTCTAAATATTTCTTGCCATGATATTAACACTTTCTGATAACAGCTTGTCAGAATACTGTCAGTATATTTCAGTGTATTTCACGCTGCTCCGAATCTCTCAAATGTAATTGAGTACTATCCGTTAATTTTTATCTGTTTAATTACATTTTTATCTGACCAATAATAAAGTAAGACAGTGAGGCTTTTAAGCATGTATATGTTTAAAATTTATTATTGTTATTGATTGTTATTGTTATTGTTATATTTAGTTCCTACACTCTTTTGAGTTGTTGAAATATGATATCTCAAAAGAAGAACTTATGAAGGACAAGCATGGAAGGTGTAAGAAAGCACAAATAGGTAAGGAGAATTAATTATATATTAATTATCAGATAACTCAATTTAGATGGTGGTTTTTGGGGCCAGGGATTAATTCTCTGCTCTTTGTGCAAAAGATTCTTGATCTATACTTTGAACTTGAAAACAAAACAGGGAAAAATGTATTATAAGCAGATCCAAATAGGGACCCATAGATAATGTTTGTTTTTTATTTTATTTTATTTTATTTTACTTTTTTTTTCACTTCTTTTCAGATCTTTCTTTAATCTTCTCTTCTCTTTTCTTCTCTTCTCTTCTTTTTTTTTTTTTTTTTTTTTTTTTTTTAATTTTTTCCCCTTTAAAACTGCTTATGCCCTTAGGATAGTTACATTAAAAACTGGCCAAAAAGTCTTGGTTTCCTAGAGGAATTAATAAATTGTACCAGTTTCACTACACAACTAGAAAAACTGTTCCATGAATGTTATAGGTAACTCTGAAGCCTCCTTGATGTCAAGTGAGACAGTAACGTCAGTAAATTCCCAAACTGGAGTATGGAATAATCTTGCAAAAGTGCCTGGGGCAACTTTTTTTCCAATTCAACATTTTTAGTTTTTGTGTGTGTGTGTTTTCTTTTTCTGTTGTTACACATTATGCACTCTATTTGCAATGATTTAAGTTCTTCTTTTGAATTGTCATGAGCTTTTGCTTTCATTTCACTTTTGACATCTAGCATTCAAGCCAATATTGAGAACTAAATATGAGGCTATGAAGCAGCTATACAGCTCTGAGGAAAACTATTTGTTAGAAAGCATCTCCATAAATCTGTTGAAGGAAAAACAATAAAAATCTATAGAAGCTGGAAATGTGTTTTAAACAGAGAAGCAGACTGGGAAGTAAGCCAGTACCCATCATAGATATAGAACAATAAAAATGCATTAAAAAGGATATTCCAAGCTAATCCCAGTAAAGCAATGTGATCTTTGCCCTTGGTATAAATGGGACTTACACAGCAGCAAGGATTGTTGCCCAGTAGGGAAATGTTGGAGACTTTAAGAATTCTGTCATGCCTAGGCACACCATCAAATGTCCCACCATGGTTTATGATGTGTGCTTTCCACAACAGCACACTGCAGAGAGCTCTAGCAACCATATCCACTGGAAAAATATAAAGCACAAGAAAGTCAAGCACTGTCTTTTGCCCACATCAGTACTGTTTGACTACCAGCATTATTTTCAAGTGACAGAATAGTTTTCCTTTCCTTGGGCACTGTACACCACAAAGCTCTTCCTAAGAGCTAGATTTGCACAGAAGGAACCCATATTATGTACCTTTTTCCACTCACCTATTTCTGCTGTTTGGGAAATAGTTACGGAAATGTAAAAATGAGTAGAGCAGGTGTGGCTTTCAAAAAGATTTTTAATACAACACTTTATGCTCTAAATAGCCCACAGTTAATATGTTTTTTTCTGTCACCCTTTCATGGTCTGCAGGTGAACCTGGTCTTCTGGTTACTCAAGTTACTCGGGAAGCCCCATTTTCTGGATATGTTGGAAACAATGAGGCCTCTGAGAAGAAACTCCTACGTAACGTGTTTGTGAAAGGAGATGTATATTTTAATACAGGAGATCTCCTAGTGATGGATGACAATGGCTTCCTCTATTTCACTGACCGAGTGGGAGACACTTTCAGGTATGGTATAGAGTTAACAGTAAATCCAGTGAGCTTGAAAGAAATCTCATATATGCAGAACCAGATGACACAGATCACACTTTAACCTAATGAATTTTGTTTTAACGAAAACCTTAAGTATCTCATCCAAAATTCACCAAAGATCACACCCAATCTGTAGAATTTTTAAAATTTGAGCCAAATGGCACTTCCTTTTCTTCTAAGGTTGAGGTTTCAGAAGAGAAGGCTCTAAATCAGAAAAGGTTTTATCTGTCTGCATTCTTCAGCCAAGAATAACAAAAATCAACAACAAAAGTAGGGCTCCATCACATATAGCCATGTATAGAAAAATCTTGTTAGCTAAAATCTATCTTATTTTAAAAATATTTTCAACAGGTGGAAAGGAGAAAATGTTGCCACTGTAGAAGTTGCTGAAATTATCACTATGATGGACTTCATTCAAGAAGCTAATGTTTACGGTGTAAACGTTAAAAGTAAGACACTACTTCTAATTTGAGAATAACAAAATGAAAATAGTAATTTTATACTCAGTCCTTTCTTTGCATACAACAGAATGCAAACTTATATGTAAGGAAATCAGTCATATCAACTCAACAATTCAAGCATCCCTATAGTGCTTTGAAATTTGAGTAAAAGTAAAATGCTGTATTTAGTAAAATGACAGGCTGAAAGTTTGTAGTGAATAGCAGAAACTTTGAGATTATTTAATATAGATGTAACAATTACAAAATTATAAACCACAAACTACGACTTCTCTTAGACTACATCTTTTCATCTGAAAAATGCTAAAACACGGAGCATATTAAAAGATAATATCTGAAAACACTTGTCACTATCCTGTAAGAAGAAGGTTCGTATTTTTTTCATAAATGGAAAATTCCCAATGGCTTATGGTTCTTCATAAGATGTGCAATACCATGTGGAAAATCTGTGGGTAACTAAGTGACAAGATGACATAGAAAAGCTTAGAATATGCACCATAAGAATGAACAGTTTAAAGAAGGCAAACTTTCTTGTGGTGTTGAATAGCTGTTCTGTGCTTCCTTTGGAAGAAGACAAACAAAGTATAATGGTAAAAGAAACTGCACTATGCACGTAAAGAAGAAGCAATCAGGATACCAGCTGCTATTTAACATTAAGAGACAGGAAACTCAATGGATTCAAAGAAAAAGAGGATGTATGAAAAGTAAACAGAAAACAGGCCATAATCTGAATGGTTGTTCAGCAGGTTGCTACCAAATGCCAGCATTCTGATTTATGAGAGATGGCATTATTCAGCTGGACACAAATAAAATTGTAATGTAACTTAGAAAGTATATTTCTTTTTAATCTACAGTGGACAAGCTATAGATGACACAAGGTGACAAGGATTCCTGAAAGACTACTGCTGTCTCAGGACAGTGACTAGCATACACTGTCAAATCAAAACCTCAAGAGCTTAAGCATTTATTCTGAGTTTCGGTATTAACAAAGTCTTTCATATTTCTGAATCAACATGAGTTTCACAAATGACCAAAAGAGACTTTAAAAAACTTGTTAATTGAGCAACTGCCAATTAATTTTCAAGAAGAGGGAACATCCATACTTATACATCCAATGCCTTGGCCAAATCACAAAGACAGTATTTCATTCTGGTCAGATTTGACCTTGACAGCTCATTTCTTCTAATTTAAATGTTTTCTCCATTTTGAATTATTATTTTGTTTGAATTAAGAGAAAGCAGTAACTATATTTGTCACGTACTTGTTAACAGGCTTGTGTTTCTGTTTTCACATGGGACATGATTTGCTCTTTGCAGTTCATTAAGAGCTATTTCTGTTATTTGTCTCTAATCTGTCCATATAGTCATCACCATATAGTTCTGTAACCACTATATTTGATATAAAAAACAAACATAGTCTCATACATTTCTACTTTTTGCACTAGTCTTTTTGGAACTTCTTTCATCTTTTTATTGAACTAGTGGTACTCAATTTGTCAGGCATCTATGTTACCAAAATTAAAAATGAGTGAGATAGGAAGAAAACCTAGCACCCAGCTCCCAGCCATACAGACTTACCAATAAATAATAGATCGGTGACATTTTTTATTTGAGTGAAACTCTGAAAGTAACAGTTAGTCTTACACAATAAAATATCTTGTAACTTATACAGAATGATGTCTGAGAGATTAGGGCAGATATTTCAAAGTATCAAGATCTTTTTCACATCAGTACTAAATCCCCACAAAAGTCATACAAGACTCACACATAGTCATATTTGTCATAATATTTATTTATTTTTACTTTAGACTGTGAAGGAAGAATAGGGATGGCAGCTGTTGTGCTTAAACCCAACCAAGCCTTTGATGGAGAAAGACTTTATAAGCATCTTGTGGACTTTCTTCCAAGTTATGCCCGCCCACGCTTTGTGAGAATCATGGTAAGACAGCCATTTCCTACTTGTATTTATCTTTGGTCTTACATAAAAATTGTTCTCTACAGTCATGGAAAGTAGAAAGTGATTTACAAACAGTTTCAAGAAATGAAACACAAAAGGTCTGACATTCAGAAAACATTAAGCCAAATGAAGCAAATATTTGATGAATTAAAAGTATATGTTGCTTGAAAGATCCATTTGTACTTACAAATCTTAGATGTAGTTCATAACTTGGCAAAGTTGGATTTTACTTCAAAACTCTTCAGCTAGTGTGTTCTTCTAGCTAATGGAAGACAAAGAAGACACACATGGCTGTTGTCTGTAGACAATATGTGTCTACATATTTTCATATACAGAAAATATGTGTCTACATATTTTCATAATACATTTTCGGATGGCATGATCCATTCAAAACTTTTTTCCTAGTATTTGTTCTTGAAGTGATTATTACCCACTGTTACTGACACAGCAGCAGCAAAGAAACATCTACGACTTCACAACTGACAGCAAGATAAATACTTTACAGTGAAGATCTCAAAATCAGAGAACTAGAACTCACCCATATGTTCTGTGGTATAAAAGCAGAGCTGGAATAAAATTCACTTACAAGTGCAATTTAAAAGTGCAGCCCTTATGTTCTCCCCACAATACATACTTCTGCAACAGGAGAGAGCATGAACTACAAAAAGCAGGTAGGGGCCCTGCATCACATCACAAAGTTTATAGCAGAAAGTTTTCTGCTGTTATGGTATGTTGAGAAGCACATTAACAGTTTTGTCTCTCCATCAATATAGATGGATTTTCTGAAAGGCATAAATTGGATTGAGAACAGGATGGAATTGTAATGGAGTGAGTCTGGATAGGAAGAGGAGGTGAAGAATGTATACATTTAGAAAGAATTATAATGAAAAGAGTTTAAAAGTTTGAGGAAAGCTATTTTTTCACCAATGGAAGTTACTGTAATAGTAAACACAACTTCAAAGGCAGTAAGTGTAGACTGTAAGGCAGTAAGTGTAGTATCTGTGTTGCCTCAGAGCACCAATGCTCTCCTCTGGGAAAAATTTTTGGAACAGACATGTCTTTATAGTTCTGTTAAACACAGAATACCTACGAGGAACTCTAGTGTCTACATGTGTGGAACCATTTAAACCTGTTTGCATTTTATGCATTCTTTGACTAAAGCTTTGTTTAGCTAACTGAAGGGATCTTACTACCAAAATCATCCCTGACACCACTAGTAAAAAGATATACACTACTGGTACTATGAATATTTCAATATCTGCAAAACTTTATTAAAGGAAATAAAGCCAATTTCGTAATAAAATCTAAATAATCAAAAACATGTTACGGCAAAAAAGGAAAAAAAAACATTCTAGTGGAGGATATGATAAAAGCTAAAAAAGTGAACATTTTCTGATTGCAGATGGTCAGAAAATGAAGTCTTCTGGAAAAAAAAATTTTTTTTTTTGAAGAGTTCATCCTAATCGAGAATTGCAAACACAAACATGAAATTCTTACTCAAAAATGGACTTCATATAATCTTGAAATCTTTTCACCTGTTCATTAGTAGGCTCTATATAATGCAGCTTGCAAACATGGTCAATTGATTTTGTGAAAAAGAGTTTTTCACAAAATTTTCATGAATTTTTCACAAAATTTGATTTTGTGAAAATGGAAGTTGTTCTTCTCAACTTCTTTGACTTGACCGTAAAAGAAAAGGAGAGGACTATAAAAGAAATGCAGTACAGGGACAATGAAGCAGGATGTTCTAAGGCTCTGAGGTAGTCCTTTTTTCAGCCAACTGTTGTTTATTTTAATTTTGTATTAAAAAAAAAAAAAAAAAAAACAAAACAAAAACAAAAAAAAAAAAACATTAGGAAGAGGTTTCTGACAGCATCCAGGGATTAATTTCAGTACTACATTTTTGGTCAGGTTTTGTTGTTGTTTTTCCCCAAACTGTCTTCCTGTGTGAAAAAAAATCTGACTTTATTAAAATAACATCAGAGGATAACTTCAAAAGAAAATCTCAAAAATCTGTGTTCATAATGTATATTTAAAATATTTAAGTTAATATTTAACCTGTCTTTATCAAACTTTTAATATTAATCATTGAAACTTTTTAATAATTACTGGAAACAAAATCCTGTTGTCTATTCAATTTGAAGCAAGCTCAATTGATAATGATTGAATATTACTGCCATGTGGCAGCTATTCAGTTCTTGTGTGAAATGACTTGGTGGTCTAAGTGTGGTTCCTGTCATAAGTGCTGCCAAAAAAAATGAATGAACTTGCAAACATATTAGCAGTCTTAGCTCAGAAGCCAAAGACAAAATGATCTGAGAATTATGGATATGGAATAGCAGGGGGACATGGAAATCAGTTATATTCTAAATCAAGAGAATAAAAATAAATATAAACTGAAAAGTTGCCTATTATTTCAACATGAGGAGTAAAAGAAAATTTAGGCTACATTGAAAATGATGTACAATAACAATGCTTGAGATCAGGTGTCTCATACTTTTGAAGAGAGATTATTTTATATACCACTTCTGCTCTCATACGCTAACTATTGTGTGCAACCAACTTGTTCATGAATTGGCAATTGTGTAACTTTTTTACAGCAACTGTTTACACATAACAATAACACAGGAAGGCATTTAACATATTTGTATTTAATTTCTTAAATGAAGTGTAGCGTCTGGACATCAGAGGAGAACCAGTACCATAAAATCAGTTAGCTCTCTGCAGACCACCAACACGTGTTTCATAAACTACAGATTTTGTGATCAGCTGCCCTAATGAAAGTTAAAAAATGCTTATTTTGAAGCAGAGCTTGAATGTTGCTTTCATAGAAAGTTGAATACAAAATAAAAGGAGTATTTAGATTCAGATTATACTGCATCTGTTAACCACATCACTCCTTCTAAATGAAGCCATTCTATAGAAAAATTCTTTGATCCATTTTAATCGGTAATTGCATCACTTTTTCATTGATACAGGCTGAAATGAAATATTGCACTTTACTTGAATTCTTTCTTTTTTTTTTTAGGATGCTATGCAAATTACACCAACTTTCAAGCATCAGAAAATGCATTTGGTGGATGAAGGATTTAATCCAGAAATTATATCTGAACCTTTGTATTTCTTGCATGAACCTTCATGTTCCTATGTTCCTTTGACAAGAGAGATATACAAAAATGTGGCTTCTGGTGAAATATGTTTGTAAAGTATAAAAATAAAAATGTTCTACAATATAGAAAGCAAATTTTAAACATACTACTGCAATAATTTCAAGAAAAATCTATACACAATGTTTGTTCTAAAACCATAAAATGATCAAGTTAGTCTTTCTGTGATAGTTTGCTCCTTCATAATACCGACCCACAAGTTATTTGCATCATTTAAGCTGCATTGAATCTGTTCATGTTGCTTCCAATGGCTGCACATAGAAATTTTTATTTTACACATCTTGTTGATTAAAATTATTTTTGTCTAAGACATCAGTATCTTAATTTATTTGAATGTTTTACTGCTTTAGATCATGATATTGATTCTGCTTTTAGAAAGCAGAAAATATTAGATGTCAAAGAAATTAATAAAATACAGAATGCGCACCAACAAAATACTTCACAGGTACTACATATAGGTGTCAGTTCAATATTTGTTAATTATCTGATATGCGTGTAATTGAAATATTTTATGTGGTATCCACTTTCAGATTTTCTTAGAAAATAAATATTCTATATTAAAATACAGCTCTAGTATTTAATTATCTTATCATTTTTCCCAGTTTAGACCAGCACTGATATAGATTAAACTAGTTGTAAAAATTCAGCCATGCTTTTTGTTATTACTCCTGAAATAGAGTTCTCATGCAAGCAGGACAGAAATGACTCTTACATTTTGTATTCCAGCTTTTGCTGGAAGTGAACATCTAGCATAAGTTAAAAGGTGCTATATAGGTTCCCAGGAAGAAAAAGATAAGAGAATACATTAGTGTATCTATGGAAGTACTTTCCTGGACTATATATTGTTTACTGTTTTTAAAAATCAAGCAAGTTCATACTTAGGTGAGGGAAAACCTCCCTGTAAATTTTCCTAAATTCACCTGAACAGATAAATGAAACAGCTATAATATTAAGCTACTTCTTCTCACATTTGTAGCCCATTTCACTGACTTGCACAGATTTCTCAGACACAAAATAAGATTTTTTTTCTTGGTTTTCAATATGTGCTATTGCTACCACTACTACTGCCATAATGAATTGAAATGTGGTAACTGACCAAAACACTACTTGTCTATTGAACAAACAGAAGCCAGTTGTACCCCACAAATGTTCATTATCTAATTTAAGAAGCAGTTTGACTAACAAACAAAAAAATTTTAATGTGATCATAAATGCCTGTGATCCTCCCTGTTTTCTTTGGTGGACAAAGTATGAGGTGGTGTATCTTTTAGGACCTAATTGTGCTTCAGCAATTCCAAATTATGAGAAAAAGTCCATGTGCGACAAGACCTAATACATCCAGTGGAAATGGGATACTCAACATCTAAAAACTGGTAAATAAAACAAGTATATAGAATGGGAACATACTCTAACCAGCATACAACATATACCAATGGCACACTTACATTTCCCTTGAGGCAAAGTTTCTGGGCTTGGAGTGAGGTAAGCCAAGTTCCATGAAAAAAAAAAGTTTTCCAAGTTCTTATTCTTAAGAACTGGCTGTTTGTGGACTAGGAAGAATACAGAGGACAATGTGGGACTAAGGTAATGTCTGAGATGGGAGGAAACAACCTTCATATGGTTCTCCATTTATGGACATCCTAGTGTCAGAAAAGAAGTGGTCAGTTACTAAAGCCTCTCGAATACACTGATTCCTCCACCTACTTCCCCCATTGGTCTTCTAACACACAAAATAGGGCTCATCTAGAGCTCAAAACTTGACACTTTTTTCCCAAAATGTAAAAAGTCTTCAGATTATGCCATGGTATTCACATGGCACTGAACAGGTTAGTGAAAACAAAACATCAAAACATTTCTAATTTTCTTATGATCTATTTTTTTTTTTCAATACACATATTTGCACCCCTTCAACATATATACTTTCAAGCTTTATGGGCACTATCATCACTACATTATTAACTGTTCATAGCAATGGATTCAATTTTAGGTTAGCAGTATTTAAAGAACTTCAGAAAATCCAGACAAAATTTGGTCAGACATTTAGCTTGATTTTTCTAACAGAGATGTATTACAAACCACTCTTTTAAGACAATGAAATAATTAAGATAATGAAAAACACAGACATCAATTCTATCCCTGGCTGCACAGTTAAAATTCAGTAGCTTATACACTTGCACCTATGCTGACCACAAAACATTTAAATAATAGAACAAACTGTAAACATAAAACTGGAAGTACTAGTACAATGTAATAAAAAATTGCTTCAGAGAAAGACACTTGAAGACCTATAGCTTAATTGGAGTCTGATATTAAAAGAACAATAAAATTTGTTATAGTATTCATATTATCTTGCTATTGTGATTTACTCATCTCAAGAAAAATACTTCAGGATTTACAAGTGACAGTCATTATTAGAAAGTAGGCATTATTTTGTGTTTAGGAAACTAGAAGAAAAAGCTTCTAATATGACACAGTTTTGTAGGTACAACAAATGGTAAATACTGCATCAAAACAATAAATACTGCATCTTGAGGTTCAACAAGGCCAGGTGCCAGGTCCTGCACTCAGGGCACAACAACCCCATGCAACACTGCAGTCTGGAGGAAGAGTGGATTGAAAGCTGCCCAGCGGAAAGGGACCTGGGGGTGTTACCAACAGCTGGCTGAACATGAGCCAGCAGTGTGCTTAGGTAACCAAGATGCCAACAACATCCTGTTTTGTATCAGAAATAGTGTGGCCAGCAGGACTAGGGAAGGGATTGCCACCCGTGGTTCTGGTGAGGCCACATCTTGAATACTGCATTCAGTTTGGGTCCCTCACTACAAGAAGGACATTGAGGTGCTGGAGCATGTCCAAAGAAGGGCAACAAAGTTGGTGAAGGGTCTAGAAAATGAGTTGAATGAGGAGCACATGTGGGAACTGGGTTTATTTAGCCTAAAGAAAAGGAAGCTCAGGGAAAACTTTATTGTGCTCTACAGTTACCTTAAAGGAGGCTATAGAGAGGTGGGGATTGGTCTCTTCTCCCAAGCAACAAGAAATAGGACAAGAAGAAATGGGTTCAAGTTGCACCAGGAGAGGTTTAGGTTGTATATTAGGAAAAATTTCTTCACTGAAAGAGTTGTGAAGCATTGCAACAAGGTGCCTGAGGAAGCAGTTGATTCGCCATCCCTGGAGGTATTCACAATGTAGATGTGGTGCTTAGGGACCTGGTTTAGTGGTAGAGTTGGCAGTGGTAGGTTAACAGTTAGACTTGTTCCTAGAGGTGTTATCCAATCAAAATGATTGTATGATTCTAATATAGCATCCTGCTTTCAATAAACTATGCTTCTTACTAAGTAATGTGAAACAAATTACCAAAGCAATAATTTTGTATCAACTATAAAATATATTTAGCTGTAATGTTTAGATATTGACTTAATTTCTATACATTATAACCAAGAACTTCAAAGTATATACATGCACATTTTTGTATAATGTATTTTTTTTAACCTATCTTCTCCAAAGAAATAAAGAACATCTTTCCAGTAACTGAAAACGGTAATATAAACAGATAGAGGCATAATGCTTAATGCCTGAGGCAGTGAAAATAAGGAAGAATAGACATTATGTGACTTCAGGGCATTTTAATGTAATTATAAAATTGATGAGAACAAAGTCTTTACCAAGCATTATAAAAGACAGATGTTATGACAAAGAATCTATATTAATATAATCAGGTCATATTTTTAAAAGCACATCAGTTGTAAGCAAAGAATATTTTTCTTCCGCTTTGAGGATCTTCCTGAAAGTCACAGAACCTGTCAGCATGGCATTTTGTTTTAGAAACATACATATCTATTTGATATGCTAGTAAGGCATAGATCATTTATAATCTTTTATAATAATTTGTTGGAAAGCAATTGAAAAATATTTCATTTCAAAACCAAAGCAACCTAATCTTCTGAAAGGAATTATTAGAATAGTACCAAGGAATCACAATACTGTTTTGAAAGGTTGTCTTAGCAGGCATGTAGACACTACATATGATTATGTGTGTAAGGATTTATTTTTAAAAATGCTATCACTGTATTTGGTCATTTAAAACACAACAAGATGGTAGCATTTCTGAATGTTACTGATACTTGCATTCCTCTCCAGTAAGTTTCAACACAGAATTTTACGAAGAGTAGTCTGATTTTTAATGACAGAATCACAGAATGGTTGAGGTCAAAAGGTATCTTCAGTGGCCATCTTCTCCAACTGCCCCCCTCAATCAGGGCCAGCTAGACCAATTTGCCCAGGAACATATCCAGATGGCTTTTGAATATCTCCAAGGAGGGAGTCTCCACAATGCTCTGGGCAACCTGTGCCAGGGCTGTCAACCTCCCAATACAAACATGTTTTCTGATGTTAAGGGGGAACCACTTGTATTTCAGTTTGTGCCGATTGCTTCCTCTCTTATTACAGAGTCCAACTGAAAAGAGCCTGGCTTTGTCCTGTTTGCACGTCTCTCAGCTACTTGTACAGCTTGATAAAGTCCTCCAGTCTAGGCTAATCAGTACCCAGCTCTGTTAGCCTTTCTTTGCAGAAGAGATGTTCCACCACCTTAGTGCCCTTTTGTTGGACTTTCTCCAGCATGTCTATGTCTCTTCTATTTGGGAGACCAAAACTTGACAACATAGGCCACCAGTGCTAATGAGAGGGGAAGGATCACTTCCCTCAACCTGCTGGCAGCACTCTTCCTAGTGTAGCTCCAAACACTCTTCTTTTTAATATTACCTAAACATAAGTGTCTTCTAATAATGAGCTAATGTTATTAGAGAGCTCCCAAAAATTCACACAAAACTCCGGTTGCATATCCAACTTTATTTTCATTATAAAGATGCTTTACAGAACATTATCTGCCCATTATGAGAAATAATGCCTTTGTTCCTCAGCCTTGTATCCTCTACATTCAACTTCTTCCCCACATTCATTCTGCAGAATGTGTTAAAAGTACTTGTGGACTAGACAAGGCAACAACTGTATCCTTGCTACACAGCGAAAGTCAGTAGCTTACTCACTTTCACATATGTCCTGGTTTCAGTTAGAACAGAATTAATTTTCTTCCTAGTAGCTGGTGGAATGCTGTGTTTTGGCTTAGGATGAGAAGAGTGCTGATAACACCCCGATGCTTTAATTGTTGCAGAGCAGTGCTTATACTAAGCCAAGGACATCTCAGCCTTTTGCTCTGTCCTGCCAACGGGCAGGCTGGGGGTGCAGTAAGAGCTGGGAGGGGACAGACCCAGGACAGGTGACCCAAACTAGCCAAAGGGGTATTCCATACCATCTGACGTCATGCTAAACAATATATAGGGGTGGCTAGCCAGGGGGAGGGGGCCGGACTGCTCGGGGTTAGGCTGGGCATCGGTCAGCGAGTGGTGAGCAATTGCATTGTGCATCACTTGTTTGTACATATTATTATTACTTTCCTA